TGGCGTCCCATGTCCCTTGTATGAGGAACAGCCATGGTGACTCTATTAACACACAAGAGAAAGCGAGAACCCTCACAAAGGCCCTCAAAGCCCTGTTCTGCTGGGTTGGCCACTGCTTTGTCTCTCTCTTTAGCTCTCTGTCCTCTTTCTCTCCCTTTCTCAGCCTTGCTCACTCTGTTCTACCTACATGTGCATCCTTGGTCCTCTTAGGACATGCCAGGTATGGTTGAGGACCTCTGCACTAACCGGCCCTTCCCCTCGGAACACTCTGCTCCAGTTAGCTACATGGCCCCTTCCCTCATCTTTAAGTTTTGGCTCAAATGTCATCTGTTTGAGAAGCCCTCCCTAAGCATCCTATTTAAAATGAAGCCCCTCCCCTGCCCCAGCGCTCAATACCCCCTTCTTTGTTTAACTTTTTTCCTCATAGGACTTGTTCTTTTCTGACATGCTATATATGTGACTGATGAATTTTGTTTATGGTCTCTATCCTGACATTAGGATGCAAGGACCATGAAGCCAGGCATTTGTATGAATTTTGTTCATTGCTCTATCTCCAGCGACGGACACATGGTAGGCTCTCAATAAACAGATGTTGAATGGGTAAATGAAAGCTGTAAAGAAGATACAGAGTCTCTTCAAGGCAAATCAGGCTGCAAAGAGGATAGTCAGATAGTGGTGAGTTTAGCATTTCACTAAATCAGGTGATAAAAACTGGAGAATAATTAGGATAAAAATTTGGTAAGAGTAGAATTGAAAGATGAGGCACTGGATTGTGAACCCCGATAGTGGCTGAAAGCCGGGGCCTGTAGTGCCTGTTGTCACAGCAGCAGAACATGACTGTAGAGGGGGCTCAGCTGGTTAACATGCCAGGTGAGCTGAACGCTCCCGGTAGGAAGACCCATGTCCCCTTCTTGCTGTCCTTTAGTTTTGGTCCAAACCCCTGAATCCACAACCCTCACCTTGAATCTCTGAAAATCATACATTTGTAACTCCAGTTGCCCTGCAGGCTTTCGGGTGATTCTTCTCACGTGGGCGCACGTTTTGCACCTTATACTGGTAATTTGTGTAAGATCTATTTATAAGATGATGCTTTTTTTTGGCTACCGAAAAACTAGGAAGATTTTAATTTTCAAGACTTTTTTGAGAAAGCAAAATCAAGGCAGTGCAAACCAGAATGCCTAATTAATAAAATTAATGAACCAAAGTAATTTTGTTACGTAAATTAGCCCATGTATTATATAGGCTAACAATGTTTCAAATTGTGGAGCTTCTCCTGGTCTTTCAATTCCTTCAGTCTTCCGATGAGCGACTTGACTGTGATGGCAGGAGTGGTGCTGTAGGTCCAGGCCCCACCAGCTGCTCTTCTCATGCAGAAACCACAACTTGTCTCTTCATCTTGGTTTTGCCACAGGAGGAGCAAGTGTATTTGGTGTGCTGGCTGATTTCAATTTTCTTCACCATTTTCCTGAGGGAGGTCCCATAANAACAAAACAGCGGAAGAAGGTCAAGTTTGCTTCTTTTGCTTGAGCTGGGACATCCATCTCTTCCACCCTCAGACATCAGTGCTCCTGGTTCTTGGGCCTTTGGACTTTCACCAGGACTTGCACCATCAGCGTCTCCCAGTTTTCAAGCCTGTGGATTCAGATCGAATTACATCCTGATTCTCTAGTTTGCTGATGGTTTATTGTGGGACTTCTCAGCCTCCATAATTGTGTGAGCCAATTCCTATAATAAATTTCCTCTTTATATCATTTATATCTATATCTATGTCTATATCTATATCATCTATATCTATATTTATATCATCTATATCTATATCTGTCTCTATCTGTATCTGTATATCTATATCATCTATATCACCTATATCTATCTATCTATCATTTATCTATCATCTCTTATTGATTCTGTTTCTCTGGAGAACACTAACTAACACAGTATGTTAAGAAAAATTACCCTAAACCTGTAAATAAAGCCAGGAGATGACTCCAGTGTCATCATTAAAATTGATCAACAGGTTCACCATGGAATATTTAATTGTCTAAGAAAGTGTTGCTTCACTCTGACATCTGTGAAGTTACAGGTGAACACGCAGGTTTCCTTTGGTAGAGATGCAATTGCTTCTTTGTGTTCATGGGTCTCATGCCCAGCTGTATTGGCTCAACCCAACTCACCTAAACCTCCCCTTTTTGCCTCCCCAACAGGCCCTACGATGGTCAGGTTTTGTGTTTCCTCTTCCCCATTTACACCATCCACATTCTTAGTGCCATGTTTATTTATCCCTCTCCCCAGGTGATTCATAAACTGAAGTAATTCAGTGGATTTAGGAACTCAGAGCTAGAGGTAACCAAGCGAAACAAAAACCATTTACGCCCCACCCCCATTTCCTCAGATTTCCCGGATAGGTCGGCAGGGATGTGGGGATTCTACCACACCTGGAATGGGGTTCAAGCCAATTTTATTTGAATCTCAAAAGATATTGAACCTCAGCTGACATCTGGGTTTCATAATAAATCCCACCTCGTTTTTTCCCCCTCGTAAATTAGTAAGATTGATTTCTGTTACAATAAAAAAGGGTTTTGTCTAAAGATATAAAGGTAATTTGATTTTGATTGAAAAAAGTTATATGGCCTTTCAGCTTCTTATTTTAAATTGGCCATTTATGTAGAACTGATAGCTCTTTATTACTGTAGAGCACACTCTGGTCCCCGGCTAATTATCATGGAGGTTTCTGTACTGGGGCTCCTTTCTCTCCCACAGAATCAGGCGATTACTGTCTCCTTCCTACACTCAAACCCCATATGGACCGTTTCTCTAATATCATGTATTTAGAGGGCAACATTCCCTATAGGGCCTTGTAAGGAAGGTTGCGCTGGTTGAAATATGTCATTTTCACTGTTTGGCATTCAATAATCCTTTCTATATTTGGGAACTCTCAAGACAGGAGGAAGATAGGATCTATTAGCTCTCACTTTTGAAGTGAAAGGAGGTCTCATTTCTACCCCTCAGGGCTCTGAAAGATTGAAGTGTGGATGTAGGATATCAGCGGATGTAAGACATCTGTGCTGCATGCAGCACATTGAGGGATGTAGAATATCTGTGCTACCAAACAGGGCTTGAACTGCAGGGAGTGGTAAAAAGATTTAGAGTCAGTTAGAGATGATATGTGACTGGATGCTTCAGAGGGTGTTGTGGTGGCTGGAGTGGTGGCTGATGTGGGTGGCTTTGTCCAGCAGCTGAGCCATGGTGCACGCCCAGGGGCAGCAGGGCTAGCCATAGCAAGCAGAAGGCCCAAAGGTGATGCTGCCCCGTGGTGGCAGCCTGCACGGACCATTCTTGTGGTAGGCTCTTAGCGGTGCCTGGCCTCTCTTGGTTCCTACCCCAGCTGGGTTCTCTAGGCTGCTCCTCTATTTTATGAGCTACCAGATACCTTTCTAACAAACTCCTTTTCTGCTTAGGTTAAGGACCCTAACTTGTACAGCGGTCTTGATTCCTCTGTTCCTTAGGCTGTAGACCAGGGGATTCCGCACAGGGGTGATGATTCTGTAGAACACAGCCAGGATCTTGTTATAGGTGGAAGCACTTTTGGGGTTGGGTTGGACGTGTACAAGGAACACAGAGCCACAGAAGAGGCGGAGGGCAGTGAGGTGGGAGGCACAGGTGGAGAAGGCCTTGTGCTAGCCTCCAGGGACATCAGCCTACAGATTGTGACCAGGATGTAGGCATAAGAGACCAAGATGATTGAGACTAGGGGGACAGTGACCAAGGCAGAAAAGAAGAGCAGGATGATATTGGCCACAGTGGTATGTGAGTAAGCCACCTGGAGCATAGGGGGCATGTCACAGAAGTAGTGATCAGTGATGTTGGCTCCACAGTAAGACAGAAGGAAGGCATTCTCTGTCTGCAGAACGGAAATGAACACCCCCACAGCATAGGTAACCACCACCAGCTGGACACACAGGCACTTGGACATAATGGTGTGGTAGAAGAGAGGGTGGCAGATGGCTACAAATCGGTCACAGGCCATGATGGCTGAGAGCAGACACTCCCCTGTGCCATGGAAAGTCACAAGGGCCATCTGGGATACCCAGCCCATAAAAGAGATGGACTGATCAGTGGCAAGGAAGCTGATCAGCAGCCTGAGGGTGAACATGGAGTAAGTGCAGATGTCAAGGAAGGAGAGCTCAGGAGGAAGTACATGGGGCCATGGAGGGTGGAGCTGGTGGGGATCAGGTCTCTCACACCCAGGGGGCTCACCAGAGATCAGCAGGAAGATGGCAAAGAGGAATTGTTTTTGGTCTGCCTGGTCTGTGAGGCCCAGCAGGATGACCTTCGTTACTGTGGTGTGATTCTGCCCCAGTGCCATGCCACTGGTGTGTTTCCCACATGACAATGAACAAGAGGCGGAAAAACAAACTGTTAACATTCTCATCAGTGGTAGCCTTTAACATCTTCTACAACTAAAAAAAGCATGCATCAGACTGCCCAAATCCCACATCAATCCCCCTGTGTCACACATGTTTATGTACTCAGGGTTCCCTATCCCCCTTAGGATAATGTCTAAATTCTTTAGCCTGCCAACTGTCCTCTGTGAAACACCTCCATGCTACCCTGCTCTCAGTTTACCCTCTAGAGATTCTGAACAACTTCCTTCTACAAACACACCACATTACTGCAAATGTCCATGCCTTTCCATGTTTTATACATTCCTCTTGGATGGTCCTTTGGTCTCTCCAAAGCCAGCTTAGAGGTCTGTTTCCTTATTCTCTTCTCTAAATTTCACAGATACTCCTTTAGTTGAAGTAATAGCACTATATTTTCACTTTAAAGAATGCCCATCCATCTTTCCTGTTGGATTTTTCTTACTCCTAGTAGGAGGAGAGTTACTTAACATCTCAATAATTTGTGCCCTAATAATATCTATCGCAGTGCCTGGTGTCAATGAATGAATATAAATTAATTTTCAATTAGGTAAGAAAGTCTTCTTCACTTAAATAATGTTGCAACTTGATCCTTTCAGTTGTTCTAGCCCAAACCTCCTAGCCATTTATTTTATTATTATTATTTTTTTAATTGGGGAATTGGGAGGATGGGAACAGNGTAACCTCAGGTAAGTTACTTCACCCTTCGGTTACTCAGTGTCCTTATCTTAAAAATGGGGCCATTAGAAGTTTGTGTCTCATGGGGATGGTTGGGAGGATTTTATGGGAAGATGAAAATCAAGTGCCTGACATACAGTAGGTTTTGAATAAACGGTAGCTATCTTTACGACAGGGTTTTGAGTGAAGGTCTGGCTAACTTTCCAGTCCTACCTAGTCAGAGAGTGAAGGGGCAAGAACCCTCGGCTCCCACCCTTTGCGTCCCTCAGAGGCTCACACTGAAGGGGAGCACCATTTCTAATACTATGTTGGCAGAGTGGCCAGTGGTACCTCGGAACTTTCCTCAGGCTTGCCCTGGAGACAAGCCAACCTACACATGTGACATGTGTACAGTAGACCGTCCCCCCAAATAACAGAATATTAGCACAGCTGTATCACTTTCCCAAGGTTTTAGTCAGGCTGGGAGCCTGTCATCTGAGAGTCACGTAGCACAGAGGATGGGCCCCAAGGAAGAAACGAGGAAAAGCTGCGGAGTTTACCATACAGCAAATGTTGGGTTGAAGAAGTGAAGGCTGAGATAGTGGGGCTTTTAGGAATAATGCTAGCAAGATCCTTCTAACCCGTGCTTCTTGTCGAATGAGATATCTTCAGGCTCCTTCAAGTGCAGGAACGACTTGAGCAGTGGGAGAGAATGAGAAAGCAGCTTGACTGCATCTCTGGAATGCATTCTTTTGCCTTTTCCACATTGTGAGCAGCTGTGAACTGCATGGCGGATGGGCGACCAGTGAGCTGGATACACTGATCTGCAGTAGACTGGGAGCGCTTAGCCATATGTGGATTTACCCACAGAGTGTGACAGTCACACTGAGGGAAAACTCTGGTTGACAGAAAGACGTGCCAGGAGCTGTGAGATGGCTTCCCCAAGGAGGTCCACTGTGGGGACTTCAGGGCTGGGGCTGCCTGGGCTGCCAGGGCAGTGACCCACATTTGGGCGGAGCATCTGAGCACAATTGTGACTGGGGAAGTCAGAGAGGGACAGTCACAAAGGCAGAGATGTCAGACGGGTGAGAAAGTTTGAAGAATCTCGTTGTACTCATGGATCCTCAGGTCTTTCTCTGGTCTTCCTTCCCGCGGTGATCTTCCTAGGGCACAATCTGAGAGCTCACCAGCCTTCTCACATCGTTTGTTTACTGGTACTTTGTAAATTGAGTGATGGGGTCATTTTTATAAAGAATTGCAGTTTTGAGCACAAGTGAGCAGCACAAGGGGCGCCGCACTGTTCAGACCCTGAGGTCGTGCTTCAGATGTATTGTTCGTCGGGCATCACTTCACAGATTTGTGGGCATAGAGTTTTCTGGGTGATAATGACCCTGGAGGGCTGGCCGTGAAGCCTCAGTCTTTCGGAATGATGACAAACATCATCCTTTATAAGCATCTTTCGGTAGAAGAATGGGCTCTGAGATTGACTGGTGTCCCCTCCATTGGGCGTATCCATCTTCGCAGGGCTCACTCCACATATTCTTGTGAGCCAGGCTCGCTTCCCATCTTACTCGGCTTCTTAGGGTGGTGGCCAGTTTCTCTGAGGTCCTGGAGAGGGTCGAGATGAAACTGCTGAAACTGCATCTGTGACACTCTTGGTGTAGAGGTGGGGTAACAGTGTTCAGTACCCTGACCTGTGGAGAAGGGAGGATGACCACTGCCTGGCAAGATCCAGGAATGTTCTGGAGGTTATCTGCGCCCATGTGCCCCTCTTCATGATACTACTTGCCTCTGACCAGCTCTAGCTGGAGATGTCCTCAGACTGTCTTGGATTCTTTCTCCACAGAAGGGCCCCTGTCTCACCTACATTTGGTATCTTCCATCCTGCCCCAACTTGACCCTGGAAGTGATGCCTGGAGAGATATACTTGGTGAATGGTAGCTGTCAACTGCTGGAGAGCCTGAGTTTTCTACACAAGATCCCAATGCCAGGGCTGACTTCCCACTTCGTTGCAATGTCTCTCCTCCCAGGGCTTCTAGGTTTAGTTCGAATGAGTTTGAGACCCTTGAGAACAAGATTAACACCCAGGAGATTCAAAGCAATTTACCCCCTTTTTTATTTGTAAACAGAAGTTTTGGGGATCATCTCTGTTCTCATAGGACAGACCTGAGGCCAAGCAAGGCTAACTAGTTTCCCTCAGGTGATAGAGCCAGAGTCGTGGGTAACAACAATCATTCACTCAATATTGACTGTTGGCCAGGATGGTGGTCTGTTGTAGCCCAGTGCTGCGGCTGCCTGGCCAGGACCACAGACTGGTCCTCCTTTCCGCACCTGTGACTGGATCTAAACCTTTACTTAACCTTTGGCTTCACTTCCATCCAATAGAAAATTCCAGATCTTCAGGTACTAGGTGGGCTCTGATGGTCTTAAGATATAGTGTAAATAAACATTTAACTCCAGTACTCTTGAGGGAGGTGACATCTGACCTAATTTCCCACTAACATTTCAATGACCCCTGTCCTGTTCAGTGCCAGGTGGTTTCAGGGGCAGGTAGAGGGGAGGAGAGGGCAGTGTGTGTGAGGCCCAAGGATCTGGCTGCCTTGTCTCTCTGGGCAAACTTTGCCATGTCACCATCTGCTCCTATACTCACCCCTCTGCCTTACGTTCCCTCCATTTCTCTTCGGTCACTCACCAATCAATTTCTGGGAAGTCTGTGACTCAGTTTTCCAGGGCTGAGGGGAGATGGATGCTCAGAAATCGGTGAGGTTAAGAGGCAGAGTCTGAGTTTACTAGGGTGATGAAAGAGAGGTTGGCACTCCCTTTTCTGGTCTCCGGTCCTTTGTGTCTCCTTGACCCTAAGGGAAATTATTCAAAGGAAAGGAAAGCATAAAACTTACTTTAATGAAAAGATTTCAGTCCCTAAACTTCTGAGTCTGGGGTGGAGTGCTGGGGTGCTGATGGC